AAGGTCTCAGTTTGGTGGCCTAGGTTCTGTATAAAAAGATCAGATACCCTAACAGAGCAAGCCGGAAAGTTAAACTGACGGGGCCTTAAGACTGAACGGTGGGAGGCCTGGATTTCGATTCTGCTCTGGCCTCTGGCAGTCCCAGCCGAGTTCCAGGTAATGACTGAGAGCCGACTGCTGGGGAGAAACTGCATTTACAGACTGAACCAACAGAATCAAAGTAGCCTCAAGCCTCTTGTTATGTAGGCGAGGTATCTGAGTCTTTCTGAGGACGAGCTCTTATTAAGAAAGTAAAAATATTTAGTACGTTAAAAGATAATTACAGGAGTGTTAGAGGTCACTCTAAATTTAATCACTTCACATAACGCAAAAGAAAAAAAAAATGTAACAAACATTTTAGGAACATAATTAAGAGTTCAGTTAACAAATCTCTGTCATACTTTCACCAACAGTAAAAATGTCACAGACAAAAATGACCTATTTAAGTTGTGCAAGTATATGACACATTGCAGGCATTATAATTATCTTTTTTTCAAATTCGGTAAATCAAAACAGCAGCAAGGCCAAACCACATTTTTTCCTCAGTGAAGCATATTTTCCTTGAAATGAGGTAAAGCACGTACCAAGCGCAATGCTTATCTGTGCTACACAAAGAGAAGAGAGGGGAAAAGCTATCACAAACGCAGCATAGTTAGGACTGCTCAAAGTACATTATCGAGGAAATGAAAACATTTACAATGAAGGTCCGTGCCAGCTAACCTCCACACAATCATCGTAAGGAATTTCGGAGTTGCTTTCAGCACAGTTATACCTCCCCCGAACAGGGTTCCCATCTTACATTCGGTCTCACATTGCAATCACAGGAACAAAAGGATGACACACAGTCACGAAGTGGGGTGACACAGAGCGATTATTTTCTTGATCGACGAATGCAAAACATTTCAACAAGCTAGACGGGGCAGGGGGGGGCAGGTGGGGAGGGGCAACACTTTACAGCATTAAAAATCAGCAGCACAAAAGCGTTCATAACCATTTCATACGTCTACTCAGACTTCTGATTTTTTAACGTAGCAACCAGGGGATCGCAGAATGCTTCAAAATGTGAGTCCAAATTAAAGTCAGCTATTTCTCTCCAACAAAAAAAGTGAAATAGCTGAAGTTTGCTGTTGATAAAACATTTTGAATGGTAGCAGAAAATTCGAACCCCTGAGAATGTCTGACCTAATCATATCCAAGTCTGAACTTTTTCGTATTAACCAAAAATACTCTTCTTAAAGGTTACAAAATATATTGAGGCATTTTTCCCCAGCGGGAATCCTTACTGTGAAACAATCTGACTTTGGTGCCAGGAGGTGAGAGAATCCCCTACTGTGGTCTTAGTGCATTAGATACGATGCAAAACTCACCATGCCTGGCGCCAGGTAGTTTAGAAATCATCTAGAGACTTGTGATATAACTCTATCTCAAATCATCCTCACAAATAAAATTCATATCCAGCCCTACTTGCTAATTGTACACATTT